TTGATTATGATTGTTTTGTTTATACGATCAAGCCCAAGTCACAGAAAGCGTCGGTTTCAGAGTAGATTCTCATTAGGTTGTTTATATTCCACTAATTTACGATAGTATTGCACATGGCGACCTATTGTTTCAATAATGAAGCAAATATAATCAAGCAATTGTCTGGACCTACACGTTATAGAATCGATGCCTCCCGAGACTAATTCATATTAGCTCGGATATCAGAGGCATATACGAGAAAGCATATACTGCATTTGACTGGCAAGCAAGTTACGAGAAACAGAATTTGATGGATTTTTTATTGAGTAGATCTATTTGATGAATTAATAAGTAATCATTTTCACTTGAAATAGAATAAAATATTGCCAATCTCAGATACATGAGAAAATTAGTTTTCACCAGAAAACATGACATAAAAGAATAATCTTGATTTGTTTAATTTCAATTAATAATGCATTGTTTGATTTTATTTTGAGATACTTATCCTGTGCATGAGATATGTGAATTAGCTGAAAGCAAACATATTGTATTACTTGAAAGAAAACAAACTATTTAACGAAGCAATAAATCGATCACAACAAAAAAACCCAAACCAAATGAAATCTTGATGGTGGTATGATATAGAACATGTCTGCAGACAAAAGCACTCAGGCTTACTGAAAAACTTAATTTCGTCTTCCTGAATTTGCCTCCAATGGAATATATATATGAAAATAAGGAAATGCGGTATTATTGCCAATGCGACATCATTCCACAAGAGACCAAAGGACAAAGATTACACAACTACTGTATATGGCACCTGTAAGCCTTCAATGATGAGCAAAACTCATACCATAAAGTTAGCAATACAAGGCCTCAGCATGACAATATGTGACATAATTCAAAAGTGCCCCTTTTCACCCCTATCAAAATTAGGAATTTAATATTAACTGACAATTAAATGTAACATATAAATAGGATCGAACAGCCACTGACACATTGTATTTGTCATTAAGACAAGATGGTACATGTTGATCACAGATGTTTAAAATTTCTCATTGTCTAGACTTCGTGGGATTTTTATCTTTACATATAATTGTAGACGCCTGTCTATTGTAGAAGGTCGTGTGTTGGCCTCTAGTTGTCCTGGGGTCTTTCTGTCGTTGGATTGCTGTCTCATTAATGTATACGCCTCATCTCATTTATTCACAATGATCAATTTAATAATAATGCGTTTCCCGTCTCGCGATTTGTTTACCGATTACAGGAAAACCTCGGACAACTTCATGGACCGAAAATTGAGGGTACTGCTAACACAAATACTATCAACTGTACCATCTTGAATATAATGAACAGAAAAACCTTTATCAACTTAGTATGCTGAAAATTGAGGTTTCAGCTAACAAAAAAGTATCAACTGTCCGGTCTGAAATAGAATGTAGGAGAGTGACATGAGAAAGACTTGAATGTATGTATACATGATGAAAAATAAATATTTTATTTATGTTAATATGAAATTGTGTTATTAAATCAGTATAATTTATTTTATTTTGTGTGCTTGTCACGCTGCCCATCAATGGCCCTTATTTGAAACAATAAACGTTCTGTATGTTTTATTATTGTAGCGTGTCTATACAACATGTCAAGCTCCAAGTAGTCCAGAGTCGATTAATTTAAAAGATCTCCCAATTTATACTTAAATCTGAGAATTTGCAATTGAGAATTTACTGTCAATATCTCGGGTTAATCACTGACAACTGTGTGTAATGTAATCAGGGGAAGCGACTTGTTGTAGTAGAGAGCACATTTGGACTTGTATGTGTGTTATAGTATTCTCATGACTGCTTTCAAAATAATTTTGTCGTTTTTATTTCCTTGTTCAAGCTGAGACTACTGTAACGTTATAGTAGTCTGAGGTTCATGTTAGTAGTCATCCTTTGGTAGCTTCACTTTCAGTCACGCCCCATGGTTTACATGAGTAAAAAGGAGGGGGTAACTGGTTTAAGGCACCACGTCATCCTTTGGTAGCTTCACTTTCAGTCACGCCCCATGGTTTACATGAGTAAAAAGGAGGGGGTAACTGGTTTAAGGCACCACGTCATCCTTTGGTAGCTTCACTTTCACGCCCCATGGTTTACATGAGTAAAAAGGAGGGGGTAACTGGTTTAAGGCACCACTAAGTACAGTGTGTGTCTGTACCAAATCAGGCTATGTGTGGTGTTTGTAAATCTCTTTACTCGGAGGAGTCGATGGTTTGTATGATCTGTTGTATGATACATAGTTTTTTTGTAATTCCTTTTTATGTGTTTTTTTTGTAATTCCTCATATCCAACTAAGTCAGACATCACGTGACTTTTGTGACGTATACTAGCCGCCATTTTGTATTATATTGCCCCATATAAAATGCATAGGTGCTTCAATAAAGTTTAGTTTTCTCATGAACCTGACCCGTTTTTTAACTTTTGCAAATCAATCCTTGATATTCAAACATATTTCTATCAAACAATGTTGGTCCTAACAGTTTAAATTTTGATTAAATTCTGTCACTGGAGAATCGTAAAAACATGTACTTTTTCTCGTTATTTCTCCGTTGACTCAATGCTAAATGTACCGATACCCATGTCTACTTGTATAAAAAATAAAGAAATTCCGTTAATAAAAATAAAACTTTGCAAATCGATTAAGTATATTCAAACATATATCTGGCGAAAAATACTATTTAAAACAGTTTAATTTCTGGGCAATTTCGGTCAAAAATCGATTGAAAAAAGTGAATATTTCGGGATTTTTCAAAATGGCGGATGATGTATATGGAAATGTTGCATCAAATCGAGGATTTGTATAGTAAGACTTCCCTTGATTTAATTTAATTTTCATGTAGAATCTCTGATGTTTCTGTTATTTTCTTTGGTGATATTTCGATATGATTGATTTCAAAATTTATTGATTAAAAAAATATTATTTTAAGTGTGACACGGGAACATTTTATTTTGACAGATATCCAGGATATACTGTTACCAGAAAATAGTTAACAATAAAATTTATAATAAAATTTTTTCTCTTCTTTTTTTAAAAGTTTTTTTTTCCTGTTTTCTGTTTAATTTATCTTTCTTTAGAAATATATTTATACATTCCTTTTAGAACAAAAAAATATTTACGTCCCAAGAGAGAAAAAAATCCCAACAATTATTATAGATAAATATTCCATACCTTCAAAATCCCATCACTTGACGAACAGTTGAACTCTGACTTTGGATGTAATGTTACATAACAATATATTGTCAGGTAGACGTGCAAACCAAAAGCAACCAGGTGACATTAAACATCCTGTGTATACATGTATTACCAGAGTTTAAATTTTGTGATATACAAAAGTTTTCATAACTGTACAAATAAATATCTTCTCTTCCCCGTGTCAAACCAGAAGAAGTATGTATCATAATAAACTTTAAGAAAATATGAATAATATAAAAAAAAATCTTTAAAAAAATATAATCAAACTAATATTTATGTTTCTATAATTATTTTAAAGAAATATTTTGATTCAAATTTTAATTTAAATGGATTTTGTATTATTTCGTAAAAAATTAAACGAGATTTCATTGAATATGATTTTATTATTTATTTTTTTAATTCAATATTTTAAGCAAAATCCAGGCATTCAATAAATCGATATAAAGTTAAACTTGTGTAAAAAAAATTGTTATTGTATACATTTCAACAGAGACATATAATACAATTGCTCTGATTTCAACAACATTATATACCCGACAATATTTATCGACAGAGTTATCGGTCCTGAATAGGACTGATATAGTTGGGTATGTTTTATGTGTTAAGTGTACAGAAAGCAAAGTATTCACGTAAAGCTTTGTACTAACAATAGAAAATAGCTGAATGTACTGACAAAATTTGTTGATATAAATAGATTATATCACGGTATCGAAAGTGATACGATATTTCTCAACTCGCAGTTGAACTTCGCTTCATTAATGTATGTTGAACATGTTCGAAGAAACCGTGACCTGTTTTCTCACTAAAAAGGTAATACGCATAAACTTTCCAGGCCAATAGACATGCTGTATGGGGAGTATATTCATGAAACACCAACACAAAATAGACAACCAGGGGTGACTATACACTACTGCGTTCAACAACGAAGAGACTATTTCATTACTGGGAATGTTACAAGTTAACATATCCATTCACAAGTTTTCAATTTTACTTAGACTTAAGAAATCCTTCACCCCAGTATTCGATTTCAATTCAAATCTTAATGTTGTTGACTATCCAAAATGGAATTGGATGTTATTGGCCGACTGTTGATTGTTTATTGTATTTACAGGTTTCTATTTTTTAAGCTTAACATATTGAGTACACCTTTGTGTCTATCGTTGAAGGTAGTTTGTTGTTTATGTAGATTTTTTTTCGTGTGGGGTTGTCTTTTCAATCTTTGAAATGATGGATGGTTAACAAACTTCGCAAGGTTAAGACTGGTACCAAGGATATGGACAACTTATTTTCTTCCAAGATATGACAACAGAGAATATTCACGGAAAATCTCGAACAATTTGTTTGATGAAATGCCAATCTGTGTAAAGAATAATCAAGCCTATTGCAAACATCCCGATTTTACAATGCTTTTTGTTGGAGCTCATTGCACTTTGACCTTAACTTTACAATTACTATGTTTGTAAGGGAGTAGGTAATAAAACAGTATCTTCCAGCATACCATAGACTTCTGCATAATGTTCACCAGAAAATAATGGTAGCTTAGAATGAGAGAAAAAATGCCATCCAAATCAAGCCACTAGTTAACATAAGATTCAAGGTTTTATGGAAACCATTCAGTAAAGTTTGAGAAAACACTGGCTCTTCAAGGATACAAGTACATTTTGAGGATTCAGTATTTGTATTTAAAGCCCAATTGATCTTGAAATTATGTTTTCCCCCAGGATTATCGACTCGTGTCTAATCCACAGCATTTGCAAGTATTTTTTGTTAATAATGACTGCACACCATTGTAGTTTATAATTTTATTTGCAGAAAAATAAAACTTTTACAATTTATAATTCTTTGATATTCATGAAATATAATAATTATACATAGGCAGTTACTCTTATCGTGCCCTTTAAAATAAAATATACTTCATAAACAGTTTCTTTGTATTTGCTTAATTTGAACACATTCTTACAACACTCAATATTTTGGGACAAATTTAAATGTAAGTTAATATAATAAAATAGAAAATACTAAACTATCATCTTATGCATCACTTCTGCTCATCTCTCGCAATAACTTTCAAATATACAAAATAATATATATATTATACCTCAAAAACAATTAACACAAATATACTGGATCATTTCATAGATATCTGCCATGCCAGGGATACATGTACTTACATCTTACTCAATACAAGTACATGTATTTCATATATAAAACAAAATCTAAAAGGATAGTAAAAAGTGGAAATCTATATACAACCTTTGGTACTAGAAGAATTATGAACTTTGATGTAAATCTGCATTGTCAAAATTCATTATAATATACATTTTTAGTCATAAAGGTTGCGTCTTGAAACAAATTTCTTTCAACCTATCATGTATTCCATGAATACCGGTACTGTGCATGTCTTTTGACTGATTTTTGATTTAGCCATCTATTTTTTTTAAACTAATTTCATGTATAATAAATGTTTGAAGCCTTTTGCAGCTAACTTTAGTTACAACTTGTTTGTGAATAGGAAGCATTGTTTAAAGTCCATAATCCTTAGGAGAAAAATTCACTAGCTCTGCTAGCAGACAAAATTTACTCAGAAAGAAAAAAGAATGCATAGAAGTATTGAAATTTAAATATACAAGCTCTATATACAACACAGACTAGAATATCACTAACCAAATTCCCTGGCACGACTTATCTTTCACAACGAGCAAAGCCTAGTATAAAATATAAATGTAAAAAATTTGTCCAACATATAGCCATTTGATTTAACACAACATACACACCAGAAAATCTAATCAGATCAAATCATTTCATGAAAAAAAAACTTCCTTAAAACGAAAAAGCTCTTTCAAAGTGATGAATTTGCAGCTATCAAATAGATTTTGCAATTCGAAAACATCCTTTTCCATGAAAAAAAGACGCAGCTGGATTTTCCATAAATTGTCATGCCTCTTGTAAATTTCAATTTTAAATTGCTTTGCCATTTGAAATATTGAAACAAAACAATTTATTTCATTCTTCTTAAGCCATTTATATGTTTTCGGTAGAAGAAAAAATTTACTGATCACTGATCAGAATTTCTGGTGTAAACATAGCTAATAAGCTAAACATATATCACAGTGTTATAATATTGGTTTGTCAGGAAGATCATTCTATATAAATCTTTACGAAAAATTTAACAAAATGCTAACTTGTTCGATGCTTGAATACATTTAAAGCACTACTCATTGTTGTAAGTTCTTAGGAGCAAAAATTTTGGCAAAGAAAATGTAAAAATTTGAACCAAACTAAAAAATGTTAGCTTATAAAAGAAAAGATTCCATCAAGGACATAATGGCTGAATACCTTTGCATAAGTTTTATGTACAAAAGTAACAAGTTTACAATACAACCATAGTAACTGCATATCTTCTTCGGAATACGTTCTATAAAAATGAAAATCTAAATTGAAATGATCCACATATCCACACACCCTTCTGTACTACAGAACAATATTGTGCAAAAATTGTTATATAATAATATAGAATAAAATCTTTCTTTTATTTTTCAAGTACTATAAAATACTTTTGACAGTGGGATTAAAATATAATTTAAAACAAAAATAATATTGTGATTATCTGAAAACATTCAAGTGAGAAAATTACCCAATAATAAATAGGCATTTATTGCATATCTTGTTTGATGAAATTAGGTGGACCATATAGTAAATACTAACTGTGAGATGAATTGAAGCTTAACAAAAATGGTATAAATATAATGGTATCATACATAAGTTGAAATTCTTTCAGTATCTTTGTAAATTCTGGTCTGCAAAAGCAGTAGGCCACAGTCACCGTTTGATTAAGTACATATACATAAAATCCTACTGTAGAGTGGACAAATTTTCTTGGTGATTATGTTCACTAATTTCAAGATTAAGATACCTTTAGCATGTTAACTTGGTCTTTATTGAATATCAGAAACAAGGACTTCAAATATAGAAATAAAACCTCTCTAACAGGTTGAAGAAGTGAAAAATGAGGAGAGAATAATCCACTCTACAGTATTAGATATGAAAACTCTTATATGAATTATAATGTTGGATTCTTCATGAATAAAATGATATGATGAGAAATGTATCTGAATGACTGAATAAACAATTTTGTGTTTAACTGCATAGATTTCATTGTTTTAGGTGACAAAGGGAGACAACCTCTCTAGAAATGTAAAAAAAATAGAAGAAAATTGTGTAGATGATAAAAAGCAGATTTATATTTTGGATTATGAAAAAGATAAAATATCTTAAAAACAAGTAACAAAATAAAAACTCAACCATATGGAATGGAAAAATACAACCCTGAACTGTTTCCAGTTGGCTTTGGTCTTTCTTCTGCAAACTTTTACTTTATATAAAAATGGAATAACTTCTTCCCTAAATGAACAGTTCACAAATATATCTGATGCAAATGAAATGATTTATAAGGATTTATAAAATAAAAATGTATAATTGACACAGAGCAAGTAGATTAAACAACTAAATAAAACAGACACCAAAGTACCCAAAGAATATTTTTTTGCCATTTACAATAATATTTTAAAAAACAACACTTTTTACTCAAATTTCTAGTCTAAAATTTACTATGTATCAAGAAGTTAGAAGGGAGAAATGCTACCACAAAAAAATCAATACTACTTTGCAACTGTTAATAAAATGCAGATCTCTTCCAGCTCTGTCTATGAAAATAAATGCTTTATATAACTCTTAATAATATATATTATGTATATACAATATAAACATTTAATGAGACAATCAACAAACAAAATTGCACCAAAACATGAAAGATTCTTTTTAACATTATGCCTTAATAAATTAAAAGTTAAACCAAATAAAATTGTAAGCAGTCAAATCAATAGTCTTCCTTCATCGCAACAATAAAGCTATATGTGCTAAATTCCATAATCATATATTATGGTAAAATTTGAATAATTATTTGAATTTAAAGTCAATTCTAACTACATTTCATATGCATAAATTTATTAGAACCAAAAATGCAAAAAAAAAAATCCAAAACATTTTAATTACACTCCTAAAAAAAAGTAAACACTCTTTCTTAAATCTTTGTTTCAAATGCTGCATGTTTTCACAACCTGCGTCCCAAAATAAAAACAAAAGCACTAACGAATTGAGCATTTAACAGTCTTGTAACGAATTACGAGTTCCTTTCTTCAGGAATAAATACAACAAAAATATCTTAAAGTTAACAAAAAAAACTAAACTACAATATATTAACACAAGAATAAAATAATAATTGTTCATTTGGCCAAACTGGTACAAAAATAATATTTCAACAAAAAAAAAACAATGCTATCACCATCTTGTGCTATAAATGTCAATACATGAACAATGGATTCAAAATAAAATTATTGAGAATACTAGTTACTTAATCAAAACTTTGGTTGTTAGCTTAACTTATGAACTAATAGGATTTAGTCTATAAAAACCATGTTTTTCCTAGGGATACAAGTAAAACAGGACTATGTTCATTTATTACTATTTTCCCCTCCCCCTTTTTTAGAGAATTCCAAGTAACATTTTCAATATGATAATGTGAGATGAATGATTACATGATTTAATTGACATTTGTAACACCTGAGGAGACAATAAATGCACAAGTTGGTATGTAAACTATGTACGGTACCTATCATAAATAATAATAATATCCATGTCATATAATAACTTAATCTCATAGAGTCCGATTGTTGAATGCAGGAAAGTCTTGATGAAATGATAAATGACAAGTCCTGAATCTGTTATGAAAATATTCGGATAGCCTGAGTAGGTGTTTGGAGACAAACTGGACATAGGCGGTCCATAACGGGCTTTTCCACAATCAAACTCGCACACTCCATACAAAACAGATTGTGTCCGCATGGTACAAGAGCTGCAACAATGTTACTTTCTGAACACATTAAACACTGTCGGTGTGGTTGACCATTCAATGTTGGAACTTTAACAGGACAGGATATTCCTCCCATCATTTTTGGTGAATCCACAACATTGTTGATGATTGATGCACTAATGCTGTCACTGGACAGTATATCTTGATCGCATGAACTTGGAGCATAGCTTGCAGTAGTTGTGATGTTTCCAAAAGCAGTTGAAACAGTGGTGGTTGACGAGGGATTGAAATCACCATTCATTTGACGGACTAGATCGGAGACTGGTGGTGAATTCTGACCACTGGACTGGCTGTTGGAATCTGTAAGTGGTGGTGATAGACTGTGTTGTGATGCTGCACTACCCAAACTACTACAGCGACGTTGGAAAGATGATCCCCCAAGTCCTGTTATAGAATCTGGCCAAATGGAGTTTGAGGGTGGCATTTGGTCAAACTGTGGTGACCCTCCAAAACCTTCATCGTTGTCATACATACCGAAACCATTAGTGAAGCCAGTGTTCATTGTCAGAGGTGCGAAATCTGAAATCTTTGAGACTGGTGGGAAATTGAATACTGAAGATTCAAAGTTGCGTTGTGACATAAGCTTACTTCCATTCAGAGTGTTCTGATAGTCAGTGAAGGAATTGAATCCATTCATTGACTTGAATGCAAGGAAATTGTTCCCATTCATTTCCTGAAAACCAGAGTCTATCCCATTGTTGTGGAAGTCATCTTCTTGTCCCTCTATCTGACCTCCAGTACGGATGGCTATATGACTTTCTATTTCAATTTTGGCCTTATCCACATTCTCTGCAAGTCCAGTTACCTCGAAAACAGGTTCTTTATCTCGACTAGGTGTAACAATATATGTGTGGGTCTGCTGCTGAATTCTTTTAATTGTAGCACCTTTTGGTCCAACTACAAGACCAACCACTTTATAAGGAACTCTGACCTGAATGGTCACCTGTCCTGGAGCACTGGGACTGGGGGGTCCATTACTGGAAACACTACTATTCCTCCTAGATGCTCTTATCTGGCTGAAGTGCTCAGCTGCTGACAGAATCTCCCTTTTGGCCAGGTTGACATCTTCTTTTCTCCCAGTGACAACAAATACTGGTTCCTCTCCACGAACTGGCGTCTTAATGTAGGTGTTTGTCTTTGCCCTCAATGCTTTTATCTTACAACCTGAAAAGTATAATATTAAATAAATCAAAACCCAACAACAAATAATATTAACAATGCAAAAAACTTCATTTAATAAATTTTCAGGGCACATATCAAGCATTGAACAATTACAAAACTGATAAAGTATTATACCATACTTTCAAACATAGTTTAAAGGGATTTCCAAGAAAAAATGCCAAAGGTATTGGGACCACTCAATGTGGCTAGCATGTACAGGGAAAGCCTTCTTAATGGGACTCTCTGGGCCCAGATTGAAAGTACAGGCGACTGGGTACATTATATTTGTCATTGTTAGCATAAAATATTAAATTTTCCTTTTCTATCCCACCTAGGGTACCTAACCCTACACCACATGTACAATGAAACTATTTTAAAATTTACGTGCTGGAAAGTTTTACCTGCACATCTATTTTATGCCTTTTCATAAGGTTTAAAACATAATAATATCCATGTGAATTCTCAACAAGTCCAGTTAAAGATTATTTCCATTTGGTAAAAGTTCCAGAAAAAGTAGCCTGAGGATAAGATTGATTGATGGTTGGTGTTTAACATCAGGACAGAACTCTTGGCTATATCATGGCAGTAAGTTGTTATTGTTGTAAGAAGCCGGATTGCCCGAAAGAACATCAACACCAGACCTGACCAATAGTTGCTAAACTTCTACGTCATTTGGTTTCTGGTGCAGAGTAGTCTCATTAGCAATCTAAATTATCTTCTAACCGGGTATTTTCATATCAGACCTTCAGGAGGAAAACAAGCAATCCTTTATATTTGAAAAAGTACGAAAGATGGCTTCAAGTTTCTGGCTTTGTGTCTTTTTTTTAAAATTATTGATAGTAACTTTTATCAAGGGTTGATTAATTCAGTCAAAAATTGGTGAGAAATATGGATTAGGGTTAGGTGTATGGGATAGAAATGGAACTAGAGGCTCTAAAGAGCCTGTGTCGCTCACCTTGGTCTATGTGCATATTAAACAAAGGACACAGATGGATTCATGACAAAATTGTGTTTTGGTGATGGTGATGTGTTTGTAGATCTTACTTTACTGAACATTCTTGCTCCTTACTACTATCTCTATCTATAATGAACTTGGCCCAGTAATTACAGTGGAAAATACTTTGTAAAAATTTACAAAAATTTACAAAATTTATGAAAATTGTAAAAAATTGACTATAAAGGGCAATAACTCCTTAAGGGGTCAATTGACAATTTTGGTCATGTTGCCTTATTTGTAGATCTAACTTTGCTGTACATTATTGCTGTTTACAGTTTATCTCTATCTATAATAATATTCAAGATAATAACCAAAAGCTGCAAAATTTTCTTAAAATTACCAATTCAGGGGCAGCAACCCAACAACGTGTTGCCTGATTGGTCTGAAAATTTCAGGGCAGATAGATCTTGACCTAATGAACAATTTTATTCTCATCAGATTTGCTCTAAATGCTTTGGTTTCAGAGATATGAGCCAAAAACTGCATTTTACCCTATGTACTATTTTTTAGCCATGTCAGCCATCTTGGTTCGCAAGCAGGGTCATCGGACACATTTTTTAAACTAGATACCCTAATGATGATTGTGGAAAAGTTTGGTTAAATTTGTCTTAGTAGTTTCAGAGGAGAAGATTTTTGTAAAAAATTACAAAAATTTACGAAAAAATGGTTAAAAATTGACTATAAAGGGCAATAACTCCTTAAGGGGTCAACTGACCATTTTGGTCATGTTGACTTATTTGTAGATCTTACTTTGCTGAACATTATTGCTGTTTACAGTTTATCTCTATCTATAATAATATTCAAGATAATAACCAAAAACGGCAAAATTTCCTTAAAATTACCAATTCAGGGGCAGCAACCCAACAACGGGTTGCCTGATTGGTCTGAAAATTTCAGGGCAGATAGATCTTGACCTAATGAACAATTTTATCCTCATCAGATTTGCTCTAAATGCTTTGGTTTCAGAGATATGAGCCAAAAACTGCATTTTACCCTATGTACTCTTTTTTAGCCATGTCGGCCATCTTGGTTTGCGGGCGGGGTCATCGGACACATTTTTTAAACTAGATACTCTAATGATGATTGTGGACAAGTTTGGTTAAATTTGTTTTAGTAGTTTCAGAGGAGAAGATTTTTGTAAAAGATTACAAAAATTTACGAAAAATGGTTCAAAATTGACTATAAAGGGCAATAACTCCTTAAGGGGTCAACTGACCATTTTGGTCATGTTGACTTATTTGTAGATCTTACTTTGCTGAACATTATTGCTGTTTACAGTTTATCTCTATCTATAATAATATTCAAGATAATAACCAAAAACGGCAAAATTTCCTTAAAATTACCAATTCAGGGGCAGCAACCCAACAACGGGTTGTCCGATTCATCTGAAAATTTCAGGGCAGATAGATCTTGACCTGATAAACAATTTTACCCCATGTCAGATTTGCTCTAAATGCTTTGGTTTCAGAGATATATGCCAAAATCTACATTTTACCCCTATGTTCTATTTTTAGCCATGGTGGCCATCTTGGTTGGTTGGCCGGGTCACCGGACACATTTTTTAAACTAGATACCCCAATGATGATTGTGGCCAAGTTTGGTCAAATTTGGCCCAGTAGTTTCAGAGGAGAAGATTTTTGTAAAAGTTTACGGACGACGGACGACGGACGCAAAGTGATGAGAAAAGCTCACTTGACCTTTCAGGTCAGGTGAGCTAAAAATGAACATTTTGTGCAAACTATGGCAAAAGCTAAACAATTTTCTCCAACCAAAGATATATCTTGATGCCTTAAAGAGTTTGAAAACCAATTAAATAACAGGGGTAAACCAAGTTAAGGGTACCTTCTTTTAGAGGTTTAGGGTGGAATTAAATTTAGCATTGCCATGTACATGTATATTTGTAAATTATAGAACAACACTATGGTCTTCAAAAATAAATATATCAAATAGTTATTGGTTATATGCTGATCGAATTGACTAAGAATTCTTACTGGTTAAATGTAAAAAAAAATTACATTCTAGAAATTACAATATTTTTTAATTGCTTCCAGACTGAATGAATTCTCCTACAAAGACCTCCCCCTTTTTATCCAATTTCAGCTGTTCTAGTCTATAAATAATCTGTACATGCATCCCACATATATATATATAAACATTACAGTGAAGATTTAAACTGATAACTAACCAGTACACCAAGCCCATCACAAAACTTGACAAATTTCCAGTGTTTTTTTATATATAAGATAAGATGAAACCATGCTGATTAACAGCACATTGTATATTTGCACCATTCATAATTTTCTTAAGTGTATTATATTAGTATGACTTTCTGTCAAAGGAGAATCTTAGGTTAACTGACACAACATGTGGAATAATAAAAGAACACAAAAAATGTTTTATGGTTATTTACGTCATTGATATATATCCCAATATCTCTTTCTATTCAGAAGTTCATGTTTGCATTTTTTATCGCAAAGTCTTGACCATAAGCAAAAATGATTAATCTAATTCATATGATTGCAAACATTTTATATAGGAAAATCACTACTGAAATCATGAATGTGAGTTTTTTTGTTATTTATCTTTATTGCCAACATGGTACTATCACATTATATACTTAAAAGAGTTGGATAGATCTACTAATTCCATTGGTATAAGCAAAATTCTCTTTATTTTGCACCTTTGAAAGAATTCACAATCAATAATACCACAAATAAAAAAAAGCCACTCAAAACTCTTCACCACAAAAGAAATCAACAGGGAATACCTACAATGTAAGACAATCCCTTAATTGTCCCAAGACTGAACCCATCCCAAACATCAAATTTTCTACCGAAACGGCAACCAATAAGTACCCTGACTTGAGACAATCAAATACTAGACCTACATTGGACAGTTTAACCTAAGTTCTTGACCATAAACTTCATCAGTGACCAATGGATACAGCAAAATAATGTACAATAAAAATAAAGTCCGCAATCATAAATGTAGTCACTAAATGTGCTGTACATACATGTATGTAGTATAGTTACTAGAAAATGAATTCGGCATGATAAAGAGTACATGTTAGATAATAAGGGTACATGATGAGGGCACTTCCCATACCGACCCTAATGTTTAAATGAAAACAAAAATCTGATTAACAAGCTGAATCTATTTGTCTCAAACTTATATGGCTTCTCATATAAGGCCTATTTTCAGGAAAATTTTACTAGCCTGGGCCAAAGGGCTTCTGGGTAATTCTGAAAATTAATAATGTTGAATTCTGAAATACTCAAGACGATCTGTTTAATTTTCCAATACTAATTCATTCACATAATTCTCATTGTTTCATTATTAAATAAATTGTCAGGTGGATGCTACATACAGAATAGGTTCTCAATATCTTTACACCATCATCAAGTACTAAAACAAAACAAAGTATGCCTCCTTACAGACCCTTTTTTATATTTTTAGCTCCAACCCTTAAAGACCAAAATTTTTAAAGAGGATTTCCTCACCATGAAATTTTCTTAAATATTTATAAAATTGAGAATGGAAATGGGGAATGTGTCAAAGAGACAACAACCTGACCATAGAGCAGATAACAGCCGTAGGACACCAATGATTTGCATGTATCAATCACTTGTTGTAACGGTTAATTTTAATATTTAATTTAGAATTTACTGAGAAGAATTTAGCTTCACTATGTCTTGACCATGTTTGACTAACCAGAAAAGGTAATCTCTCTTTTAGTGGGGAGAGAGAGAGGGAGGGAGACTCAAATGGCCTTTTATTTTCCTGGCATAAGAAATGTGCCAACCTACAAACTACAAACTTTTTTGCCATCACATATTTGTTTGCATTGTTTTGCCAATCTGTTAACATGAACAGTAAACTGATCTCCTAAACAAACTTAATTCAGTGCCTTTCATTTGGTTTCACCTAGGTGGTACATCAAATGTCAATCAATCATTTGAGTCAGTTTCATAGGGCTATTTTTGGGGTTTTTTTTCTAACAAGATTAGTTAAATTACATACTGCAGTATTGAGATACCAACATTTATTTTAATGAGAATATCTGCAAATTACAAAAGATAGACTAAGGTAAATCCATTTATTAATATAGGAAACAACCATATATAGATAAATTCAAAATTAAGCATGTATTTTAAAGAACCATGAAAATAAACTTCAACATCATATAGATTGGTATGTGGTGCATGTGCCATCACTGTCAATTACTATTATATTGTACAAATTTTAGTTACATGCAACTATGATAACATGAAGAATATGGCAGCAATATATTTTAAATCAATTTGAAATTTTTTCGACTCTTAGGAAATTTATCAATACTTCAAAATAATTCAAATCAAAACTATACACCAATCATTTTTCATATATATATGAGGCAAAAATGCAAATATGAAAATTCATTTTCATAAAACTGAATCATTTATGACACAAAACTTTTTTCATTACAACTTTATAATATGTTTCGAAATTCTTGGATCCGTGTACTGTTTTAGTTGACAAAGGTTGACGTACAATATATATAAAAAAACATTGTACTTTTTAACGACAAATCTGAAGAAAAAAGACCCGCTAATCCGCCAAATGGCTACTCTTGGTTCTTGAGCCTAAATTTCATAATAACCCCTCCGATTAAAAGTTGATAAACATCCGTTTTGCACTGACATGTACATACATTTTGCGAAGATTTCAGGTTCAGATCTTAAATTCTGGTTAATATTCATTAAAAACATTCTGAGCTGGAGTTCTTGCAAAACCTTTAGCCATGCGAATGTAAGATGTTTATTTCCCCGTGATTTTAGCACAGCACATGGTACACGAACAACACGTGCTTTACCCAAACAAAGCCACTGGTACTACTAAAGACCACAAAACAATTTTGACAAGCAATATTATTATTTTTAACAACACACATTTAAATTATATTTTGCTATTTCACGACCCCGTATGAATTGAACCTTTTTTTAATACAAAATATTAATCAGAAGCAATAACAAACTAGCCCTTTGTTCAAGTGCACCAACATTAGTTTCTTTGTTCAAAATACAAACACGTGGTCGCCAGATAATGTAAAGATGACGAATAGAACAAAAAAAATCGATAGTTACAATTCTGCAGCTCCATAGCTCTAAATCTATCTAGTAATGTATCAAATTAATGAATATTTGTGTACATGACATATTTACATTATACATTCTTTTAGATACCACGTGTGTCATCAAATATTACGCACTGGACCATAAATGATGTATATCCACATGAATGAATGAATTTATCAATATATATTACCTTGTCTCCCAACTATTTCTGCGACATGCTCTGAACTTGGAACTGGAACACATTCGGTTGTATTTGCGCCGTTGTTTTTCTTCAGAAGCTCTGCAGCATTATCACTTAAGTCATTCATGTTAGAACTGTTATTATCTTCATCTAATCCAAGCATCGAAAGCTCAAAAGCCAAGTGCAGTGCCCGTTGTTCCTCTAAATTAGTGTTAACGGGTAAAGTCTCTGTGAATAAATTCGCTGGCATTGTGAAAATAATATTATATCCAAAGTTATAGCATATAAAAATAGAAAATTTATATATATTCCATGTAAATGCACTAAATTCCTTTGTCAGTCAGTACCTCAGTTGCTGAGAGCGGAATACGAACTGTCTGCTATTTTTAATCACGATGTACAAAAGCCAATATGCCTTAGTGACGTCATTTTCCCAAGATTCCGCGGTATTTTCATAATTGAATCATTTCATTGGTTGATCAATCAAATTGGGAGGAGTTAATGTCTTGACCTCGTGGGGATTTCAGGCATAACAATAACAACAGATTATATTTAGATATTGACAATAAAGCGGAAAAAGGCGCTAAACATACTAGAAATAAAGTGAAATCAAAAGTCCTGTATTTTTTTCATATATTATTGTATTACAAACATATATAGATAAAGAATATTAGCAATCTTCTAACATTTTAAAACTTATCTTATTACTACTAACCTTTCAAACTTTATATAGTAGTTATTATTAATTTTAAAAGTCTTTCTGTTCAAACCACGTGTAAGAGTCGGAATCCCATAGTGTTACGTGTATCTATTTATATATTTTATGTTTGATTCATAATTATGACTATGAAACCATTTTTTTTTTTTATCAAAGTTGGATGGTTATGTACCCAGAGACATATAAATATGTATTGTATGTGTCTCTGGTGTACCTTAGCCAATTTTAACAAATATTAAAATACAAGACAACATAAAAAATGGTTGAATTTGTGTGTAGCAACTTTGTGTCCCTGGCTTTCTCTTTCACCTCAACAAAATGATTAAGATTTTCAATAGTCAAATAACTAGATTTATCAATACGTATGACACACATAAAGACAATATGGTATTTTCATGATGACTTTTTTGGTGGGTATTAACAGAGACATATACACATTTATGTCTCTGGTATTAACTCTTGCGGGTATTAATGAATAATGATTGTAGGCTCAAGTTTAGAGATTGTCATATCTGAAGTCTTTATGTTAAGAGTATGCACCAGTCGGGCATCTAAACCGTTACTGCCTGAAATTAGAAGTCTCCACCAGGGATGTACCTTAGATATTTTTTATTGAAGAAAATGAGATTTCTCGTTTATTTTCAATAGCTACCCCGCTATGTAAAGACAAGGAATTGTGGTATGATTGCCAATGAGACATTACTGGTGCAAAAGTAATATGGCAGACCGCAACCAACGACAAGCACTGAATTAGAGAATCTTGATTTGGGACATGCCCTTAAATTAAGAATGTGGCGGGGTTAAACACGTTTACTGAGCGTTCAACCCTCCCTTTACCTAGGACAACATAAAATTAAACTGTAAAAATCCTCGTAAAAATCATCTCAAAATGGCTCGGCTCATCAGATTGGCACGAAGCACAGAACAAAAAATTAACATAAAGACACAAAGTACCCGACGCCGGATTATTCATTGAAATATTTAAAGAAATGAATCAAAAATTTTATACACCCTTAGACTACTATATCAAAGTCCTAGATGCACAGGAATACTGGTATCAATATGGCTCAAACCAGAACTATGTTAAGGGGATTATCCTGAAGAAATGTGCATTTTTTCCTCAATAAATGCAAATGAAATTTGATGTTTGCATTTAATTTAATTCAAAGTCTTTATTTCAGTTGAGAATGATTGCAATTGCAAAATTATTACCAACACCAATCATTTTAACGAGTATCATATACAGGACAATACATATTTTTCATTAATTTATTCTTATTAAAAAACTATTGTCTTTTAAATTCCCGATTAATACACGTACATCTTAAATTGATTTATAAATAAATGTTTCTACCAAATTTATTTTAATTCTATGTCTCGTTTAGTCTTTTTGTACATTAACGAATTTTCGTCTATTTTATGAGACAATTTTTTACAGTATTTTATATTAATATGTAATTACTAAGATTCAGATAATGTTTGATGTCATATAAACGAAACATTAGTTATAATTCCTCCATAATTATAGTTATTAAATACATGTCAGTTTTATGTATGTACATCCTGTAGTAATAAATTAATTTTTGTAAAACCAGAGATAAGAAGCTGTTTTCACACCATGGGACCAGTGTAATAGACCAACAAGTTGTTACTTTTTATCGGAGGGCCACAGAGGTGTCATTAGCGGAGTACACTTCCAACAGAAGGCACTTCGGGGAATTCGACTAATTGACGTGTAATTTTGGATTTTATATAACGTCCTGTTTATTGTAAGGACTGGCATCTGGAACTGAAGGATTATAATAAAATGTGAATTTTTTACAACCCTTACGTAATTTACAAATGTCATCACCCGGGAGGTGTAAAATGGCACAGCTTCTTCAAGTATTTATTTCCTGTCTATTTTAAGTATTAAAGATACTTATAAAGTACAAAAAGAAAGTTTATCCTATATTTATATAAAATCAATTATAATTTATGTAAAAAAAAAATCATTTTTATTTTTCGAATTTTTTAATTAGAAAGAAATTCATTTTTTTCCATCTTGCATAAGGCTATGAAATAATGAAGCTTCAAAAATGCCCTTTTAAATATTTTCCTCCTCAAAAAAGTTTCTATGATGTACACCAAGACTGAAACAGTTTCTTAAGTCTAGACTAAAAAAATCCCACAATATTGAAACAAGATCGAGGGCCACTTTATTTTTCCGACTGGAACCTGAGACTTCTATATAGTTTCAGCTGGACCAAAAGTTTTTTTTTTCGACTGGAACCTGAGACTTCTATATAGTCTCGGCTGGACCAAAAGTTTTTTTTTCGACTGGAACCTGAGACTTCTATATAGTGCCGGCTGGACCAAAAGTTTTTTCCGGCTGGAACCTGAGACTTCTATATAGTGCCGGCTGGACCAGAAGTTTTTTTCCGACTGGAACCTGAGACTTCTATATAGTCTCAGCTAGACCAAAAGTTTTTTTTTTCGACTGGAATCTGAGACTTCTATATAGTCTCAGCTGGACCAAAAGTTTTTTCCGACAGGAACCTGAGACTTCTATATAGTCTCAGCTGGACCAAAAGTTTTTTTTTCCGACTGGAACCTGAGACTTCTATATAGGCTCGGCTGGACCAAAAGTTTTTTTTTCGACTGGAACCTGAGACTTCTATATAGTGCCGGCTGGACCAAAAGTTTATTCCGGCTGGAACCTGAGACTTCTATATAGTGCCGGCTGGACCAGAAGTTTTTTTCCGATTGGAACCTGAGACTTCTATATAGTCTCAGCTAGACCAAAAGTTTTTTTCCGACTGGAACCTGAGACTTCTATATAGTCTCAGCTGGACCAAAAGTTTTTTTTTTTCGACTGGAACCTGAGACTTCTATATAGTCTCAGCTGGACCAAAAGTTTTTTCCGACAGGAACCTGAGACTTCTATATAGTCTCAGCTGGACCAAAAGTTTTTTTCCGACTGGAACCTGAGACTTCTATATAGGCTCGGCTGGACCAAAAGTTTTTTTTCCCGCATGGAACCTGAGACTACTTTATAGTCTCGGCTGGACCAAAATTTTTTTTCCGACTGGAACCTGAGACTTCCATATAGTGCCGGCTGGACCAAAAGTTTTTTTCCGACTGTAACAAAAGATGAACCAACCAATGATGGTAACATTTATAACAGTTACGCTTACAGCAAAAATGTCACAGATTATTGGTACTGTCAATGTGACAGACATATATTGAAAACTCTGACCAATTTTTAGCACACATCTTTCGCAAACTTTCTATGACCCTAAGAGTTGAAATAACATTAACAATATTCCTAATGGGTGTTCTAAAATGGACTTGGACATTGACTGCACGTTAAATAATTTTAACTAAGCGATTGCTTTATTTATTGTAATGAGACTAAACTGTAAGAGTACACTGTAGATTTTTAAGACCTTTCCTCCGATGACAGCAAATTATGACATCACGCGCATGTTGTGTCTTTTCTTTTCTATATCATATATAAACTATAGTGGTCCTGCATGCTAAATCCCTAAATTCCAAACCAAGCCTGAGAGAGAAAAAAAAACAAAAAACACCAGACTACGTTATCTTTGGAGCTGAGAGATTTGTATTTGTGTATATATGTGTATTAAATCAATTTATTTTTTTTGTTGCTTTTGTTTTTTACGACGAGGATGAGGGGGTTTTAACGACCTTGACTACCCATGAGGGTCTTGCACGGTAGGCCCTGGCTTGCGCCTCTTTGTGCATTTAAATAATTTATTTTTACCTTATGGTAATTGATATAATTTTGAGTGACAAAAAGTAAAAACATAACTGTTTTTTATTTGTCACAAGTATACCTATATGACAATAAATACTCGTATATATATTTGTGTCATGTATACTATACATGTCAAATATTGTCTTATGTAAATAATATTTTGTATTTGAGAAGAGTTATTCATTGTCTTTTTTCTGGTTTTGACAAAAAACAATGTTACAATTACACATATATCACCAAAAAGTCGATGGGAAAAATAATTATAAAACTATTGCTATATAGCATCAAAATGTATATGACTTAATGGACTTATATTGTCATTAAAATAGAA